TGCTACAAAATTCCATAACTCGGATCCTTTTGTGTGGGAGCCGACAGGTCTCATAATACACTGCTCTCGCTCAAGGTATTTGGGAAGGCAATAAAAAAAGACTGACCTGGAATCGCCTTGCGTTTGACAGTTCCTGTCTGTTCAACTGTATTAGCTGCTGCTGTGCTTGTAACCGTGACCGTGTGACTTTCAGCAAGAGGTTGTCTCTGGAAGTGAAGACATAACTGATTTCTGTTCAGTTTTTTTTTCATTTTGTAATCTTTTTACTGGAGAAGTCCCTTAAACTAACTCTTGCTCTTCAGCTCACATAAGAACAAACAAACTAGTCAACAAAACTTCAGAATCTGGAAGTCTTACATCAGAGGAGACGCTCTCTGAGCACTTCACTATGGACACATCAATCTTTCGCAGGGGCGCGAACGTGTGATCGGCCATACTTTGTGGAGTGGAACAACCCTGCCCAACTCTCCCTTGTGACGATATCACAACATTCACGTCGTCTCCAGTCAGAGTGTTGTTAAGAAGATCATCTTGAGAATCTGAAGATAAACTCATTAGATGATTCAAGCACTGATGGATGGAGAAAATCACCTGATGCAGGGTTCTGATCTTCCACTTGCGAATCATCCTCAGATGTGAATCGTCACGAACAAAGTTTCTGGGCTTAAACTCGGGGCACGGGTCGTTGAATACATCGTGGTATCCACCCAAAGCCATCTCTTGCTAAAAAGAATTGTGAGATATTTATAAAAAAAGAATGTCTTGACCCACCTCGTGGTACTGCTGCTGGCGCTCCTTCAAAATTTTTTGATCCAACTCCCTCTGTTCCGCGGTTGTTAGCCTTCTTGCTCTCGTTCGAGGAGTACCATATGCAGGGCCCTGGAAATGAAAGTTTAACCAATTTCTGAATGTGAAAATACGCAAGTTGTAACATACCACAGAATCTTCGTTTACAGAGCTTAAGGTCGAGCTCATACTGTCTTCCTGGCTGATGTCGAAATACAAATAACGAGCTTGGAGTGGATGTTTGATTACCTGAAGGGATCTGATCACAGAACCGTGAAGAAAAAGTGACACTGATACAAGAAAAGACGCTAGCGTGGCATAGATTCATAGTCAAATAGAAGAAATGTTGCCATCTGAGCCTTCGAAAAAAAGGTGCCGGGTGTGAGTGAAACACTTTCCAAAATATGGAGATTCGTTTCAGAGTAAAGGAGTTGGGAGTTGAGGAGTAGGGCAAGGTTTAGACATACCGCAGCTCTCTCAACATGTAACCTGTTGGACGGCAGACGCCTACTACACCTGCACCCAATAGAATTAATTCACACCATATGACCCGGAGCTGAACGAGAAAGAAGCTAGAGCATTTCCGCTAGGGACCAAGGGCCTAGAGGGCCAATTTTCTGTTGAGCACGCCAAGCGCTGATCTTTACAATGAGTTACAGCCCCTCAAAGGCATGACGGTATTGAGGAACGTCCATTGAACATGGTGGTAGTCCTGCCCGCAAACATAAAGGGCACTACCCCAAAAAGTTAGTTGGAAAGCGCGACCCGCCCGCGACGAGGACACAGTGCCGCCCACTGGCCACGGCAACGCCCAACTTCTCTTTGAGGAGCTTTCCTGATGGAACGACTATTACCACTGGCATCCCTCATCATCCCCGAAGTTATGACACATCAAGTGAATTAAAATCGACACAAACCAGCCAGAGAATCAGGATAAACGAAACCACAAGGATAGAAGTTCCAAGCTACTTAGAGTAGAAAATAGTAAAAGTGAAAAGACAAACCTTCCCTCGAGGACAAGGATTCTTTATTGGTTGACTTCGGAGTTCTCGTATCATGGCATCGAAATCTATCGGTGGCCGACGCGATCCTCCTTCGAAAAGTCCTGGTCCACTATCGACCTCCATATCGTTTTCAGTCATTTTACTCT